GCCGTCGAATCTAAGTGCACGGGAAGCTGCGGTTTAGCTTTGGCCTCTTACTACGTCTCGAACGGAACAATCCTCTCCGTCATCAACCTAAACCTCAATTCTTCAGTCGCACCGTACGATGAAATCAATTTCGACCCGATCCTAAGGTATAACCCCAACATAAGAGACAAAGATACGATCCAATCGGGTTCTAGGGTTCTTGTGCCTTTCCCTTGTGAATGTCAACCCGGAGATTTTCTAGCACACACGTTCAGCCACCGTGTTCGACAAGGAGATACTTATGAGAAATTGGCGACTAAGGATTACGCGAATCTGACGACGGTGGACTCATTGCAGAGGTCGAACCCTTCTTTTCCGGCGGAGAATATCCCTCTCGCTGCGACGCTTAACGTGTTGGTGAATTGCTCTTGCGGAAATGAGACTGTATCGAAGGATTATGGCTTGTTCGTTACTTACCCGCTTCGTCCTGAGGATAGTCTCGATTCGATTGCGGTCTCTTCCGGTGTACCGGCGGAGATTCTGCGGAGATATAACCCCGGTGTCGATTTTAGATCAGGGAATGGAATTGTCTATGTGCCAGGGAAAGGTAAGATGATTGATTTTGGATGATAGTAGCACAAATTCATAGAGTAGTGGTGATTGTGGAAGTTTCTTTTGACTTATTCTTCTGTTTTTTTCAGATCCAAGCGGTGCATTTCCACCTTTCAAATCAAGGTTGTTTGAGTTTTTTTCGTTGTATCTTCTTGTTCCTTTGATTTCTGTGACTGATGTATTCTACTCCTTGTATGTTTTTGTAGTAAACAAGGTTGGTTCTTCTCTCCATTTTCGAGCTTTTTGATGATTCTACATGAAGACGATTTACTTAAAAAGTTGCTAAGTAAGAAGAAACTTGGGAGAGGTTGAGAAAATGATTTGATATTTTTTGCATAAGCAGGTATTGGTGCTGGAGTTATTGCTGGTATATGTGTAGGAGTGGTGGTGGGTTTGTTGTTAATTTCGTTTGTCGTGTATTATGCTTACCGGAAGAGCAAGTCGAAGCATGGTTCGCTTTCATCTTCTATCCCGTTGTCTAAGGCTGATCATGGTAATTTTGTGATGATCAGATACAAACAGATTTATCTGAACTTAAATGTTCTGCTTTAGCTGGAATTTGCTTGCTAATTTATCAATCTGCTTCTTTTTTCTCTCTTGTAATAGCTTCTACAACTAGCCTCCAAAGTGGTGACTTGGCTGGTACTGGAGTCTCTCCTGGCATTGCCGCCATAAGTGTGGACAAATCTGTTGAGTTTACGTTGGAGGAGCTCGCAAAGGCTACTGATAATTTCAATCTGTCTTTTAAGATCGGCCAAGGTGGTTTTGGGGCTGTTTACTATGCAGAGCTTAGAGGAGAAGTATGCAGAGATTTTTTTCTTATCTTTGTTAGTGTAGATTTTTTCCTTTGAACCTACACTTAGAACATTAAAATTATTGGGTTTGTATCCATTCATGTATAGAAAGCTGCGATCAAGAAGATGGACATGGAGGCATCAAAACAGTTCTTGGCGGAACTAAAAGTCTTAACACGTGTACATCATGTCAACCTGGTAAACCCCTGTTGTGTTCTCTCAAGATTAATATCTGAGATCAGATAAAGATAGATTCTTGATCAGTTTTTTTCTGATAACAAACTAATTCTTTTGTGCAGGTTCGCTTGATTGGATATTGTGTTGAGGGATCTCTTTTCTTGGTGTATGAATATGTTGAGAATGGCAACCTTGGACAACATTTACATGGGTCAGGTACACAATATAAAGACCTAAAAAAAGAGAATCACTTTCTAGACTACCAATGAGTTGACTGTTGTGACTTGTGATCAATAGATAGCTAAGTAGTTTATGTGTACCTAGGACGAGAGCCGCTACCATGGACTAAGAGAGTGCAGATCGCGCTAGACTCAGCTAGAGGTTTAGAATATATCCACGAGCACACGGTTCCAGTTTATGTTCACAGGGACATTAAATCTGCCAATATACTGATAGACCAGAGCTTCCGAGCAAAGGTGATTCTGAAGTTCTAATTGCCAATCAAAGGTGTAAATGCTGAAAAAACACAAAGATTTTTGCTTTGTCACGGCGCTGAGTCACTTCCGTGTTACAGGTTGCTGATTTCGGTTTAACTAAACTGACAGAAGTTGGAAGCTCAGCGACACGTGGTGCAATGGGTACATTTGGTTACATGGCACCTGAGTAAAGAACTTGATCTCATTTCTCTCTACATCTATTACTTTGTTAGAGACTGCATTATAGTGATGATATATATGCATGCAGGATTGTTTATGGAGAAGTGTCTGCAAAAGTAGATGTATATGCATTTGGAGTTGTCCTTTACGAATTGATTTCTGCGAAAAGCGCGGTTGTCAAATTGAACGAATCCAGTGGTGAATTCAGAGGCCTCGTTGGTGTGGTTAGTATTATTGCTTCTTCAACACTCGTCTTTCTTATTCAAGACATGTACAGTCCCTTCACATATGCTTTCTTTCTTCACATATCACAGTTCGAAGAAGCATTCAAGGAGACCGACAAAGAAGAAGCAATACGCAAGATTGTAGACCTGAGGCTCGGGGATAACTACCCGTTTGATTCAGTATACAAGGTAGTCTTTCTTTGGTTTCCCAAATTCTTTTCATCTTTCTACTTTTGGTGTCCAATCGGTTTGACTGAATCAAAATCATACCGAACAAATAGTTATCCAAATGGAACCAAAAGGAAAATAAACCGATTAAATCTGGAATTTCTTCGATATTTTTTGTCAAATCATAATTCGAATTGAAACGGATATCTTATCAAACCAAACCAAATAGTATTCAGTTTTCAATCGGCTTTGATATTTTATACACCAAAAATTCTGAAAACCAGAAAAATCGAACCAAAAATCCGAATTGGACCTGCTAATTCTAACACTTGGTTAAAGCTAAACCAAGCCAATGGGGGTGATTTATGTTTTGGGGCTTGTGGTTTAGATGGCGGAATTAGGGAAAGCTTGTACGCAAGAGAATGCGCAGCTACGTCCGAGTATGAGATACATTGTGGTTGCTTTATCCACTCTGTTTTCGTCGACGGGCAATTGGGATGCCGGAAACTTCCAAAACGAAGATCTCATCAGTCTTATGTCCGGCCGGTAGAGTTTGCGTTTTGCTGTTTATAGAAATGATGATTGATTGTTTTTGGTTTTAACTCGAAATTGATTCTTGGTAGCATCAAACAATGCTTCAGTATATTCCCTATACGAACTGTGCACGTCACCAGTTGACTTATATATAATTTTCTGTAACTAATTGTCATCTTCGACGTCTATTATTTAAGCATCTCACACCAATGATTGTAATGAAATGCATCA